CCCATGGCAGGGGGGTTGGAACTAGATGATCTTTAAGGTCCCTTCCACCCAAACCATTCTATGATTCTATGATTAAGGTTTTCCTAAAGCCCAAGAAAACCTCATGCTCACAGAGGAAGACGACATTTTAGCAGTTTTAGTGCAATAAATTAAAAATTTTCAGTTTGTATTTAGCATTCCTGTCTCACCAGGTCAAAAAGTAGCAGCGGATACCATTGTCCATTGCCACTGAGGAAACTGACAAAATCAAGAATCCTCTACAAGGTTGGGCATATTTACACAAGGTACGTTCTTTATGACTTCTTAAAAGAAAGCTACCTCAAAGTGAGGAATTTCAAACATGATTTTTTTCCATTACACCAGTTTATCACACAGAAATCACCAAAGAATGTGAGGAGAAAACTTAGTCTCTTGCAAGCTCAATTTCAATAGCCCAGAAAATTCCTTCTGGAAACCTCTCATAGGAGCGATCACAAAAATCTGCATTTCAACACAGACAGACACGCTCTCCCAACCTAACTGGAGAGCTCAAGAAGCTAAACACACTAGTTTCTTGTTATTGCCCTTCTGCACTCCATTTGTAGATAAAGTTGGCTGATGCAGCACAAAACAAGGATAAAGTTATCCAAACCTCAGCTTTGTACAGCAATCTCCTCAACTGCTACATATGTTCCCTAAGTGAGTATGTACCTTTGCTCGTTTTCAAATTTTCAACCCTTCTAACAACAGAAGTAAGAAAAGCAAACAGAAGGGAGAATGTACTCCACTGATAACTTAACTTCTTATTCTGCACATTATGAAAAACTCCTGAATGACAACTAGTACCATCGTCAAGACCCTCTGCTTCAAGTTCAAATTCCAGCTCTCCTACAGGCCCTGTGAATAACTAATGGGAAAGTCATTCTTACAATTCTCTGTGAATTAATTTTTATGTTCATCTCTGTTTTACCACAGAATTATAGGGCATTATAAGAATACATTCATTAGCAATTGAAAGGTATTCATATTTTTATAAATTTAATTTTCAAGCAGCAGATTGAATTTTAAACTGGAAGGCATCACACAACCTATTCTTCTGACATCTGCAGCAAGTATCAAAAGCAGAGCTGCTGAAGCAGATGAAAAATCAGTTAGTGACAGAAATGAATACTAAAAATCACTCTTAGGCATCTTTCTCAATGCTCAGTTTCCTTATTCTGATGTTTTTAGCAATTCATAAATCAAGTTTCCTCAATAAACACCCATTAAGCTATGTATCATTATAGATACATTAACATGCAACAAAATTGTACGCAAGTCCTCTCATTTTACCTTGGTTGTGTACATGATGAAACATGAACTGATAACAAGATTGAAGAAGGAATACATTCTCCACAGATGGCATTCCCTGTCTGGTTTAGGGAAAAATGCAAATAGGCCTATCATCCCAAACCTACTGGTCAAAACTGCTATTAGCTGTCTGCAATTGGTATGGAGAAACATACAATTGTTATGTTTATGATTAGAAGTCTGGCAATAAAAGTGCATACTTGACTCACCTCCAATTCTCCAACACAAAGTACAATTTTAAAAAAGCCTTCACAGGAGGAAGAGGTAATTACATTGAAAACTGGGTATTCCAGGCAGTACAATCAACTCCAGCAACTGCAGTAATGCAGTAATAACTAGAAAGTGTGTAAAATACTACTATGCATTAATACCTTGACAAGAATTTAACCAATGCCTTATAAAAATGGAAAATGAAATTGTGAGAGGGAAAGGAATAAGAAGTCCTCGCAAGCGAAAAAACCACTCAAGAAAAGGGGTGGGAGTTCTAGATAAGGGAACAGCTTCATGATGCAAGAAATAGATGGTGAGAGTGCCTCACCATGACATCTGCCATCAAAAGTGATCACCCAGACTATTACATTTGGGCTTATCAAAGTACATGAAGTCAGAGAAATTGCTTCACAATAAAAGTATTTGTAAAATAACTAATCAGTTAATGTTCATATATCATATCTATGAAACACGCACAGATTCTCTTTGTTAGTAAAGAGGATGGGAACAATTGCTTATATCTAGTATAATAATTTCTGCTACTATTATTAAAACAGACTCCCTACTAAAAGTTTTATATTTCTTCGGAATGAGAACATTTATTCAATTCTCCAATCTAAATCATATAGGTAAGGGATTAAGTACAACCATTATGACACGTCTTTTCAAAATTTAAATTATGAGGTTTAATGAATTACCTCTTCTTTCTCATGTAGCATTATATGAGCTTTCAGACTGGCTACTCTGGAGAATTTCTTGTTGCACACGGGACATGTAGGATCTTCACCATTGTGAGTACATTTATGAAGTGTCAAGTTGAATTCAACATTAAATGACATCGGACACTGGTCACATCGGTGAGGCTGTTTGTTAAAACCACAAAAATAAAGACAAAATTCAATCCGCACATAAGTTACATATACCCTAGGTGACACATACAACCTTACAAATCAAAATGTTTAAAATAAAAAAAGAGCAATTCAAGTATCTACATATGATAACGATCCTTAATAATACCAGTCTTAATTATTCTCTATTCTTTGTATCTCACTACTGAAAATGCAAATACAGCATTTCAAGAGCATATGGGGAAAAAAGGCAGGGGAACTAAAGAAAGCAGAGGCTCAAAGCTGAGACTGTCCGAGGAGAGTGAAGTTAGCAGGAGAGAAGAATGAGCAAGAGACAGAAATAAATTTTCCTACTTTAACTGAGATTGTGAACTCTCCTTAAGCAAAATTAATAATTGAACCAGCAAAGCAAAAAGCTTAGTTTATGCTAGGATTGACTGCTCTTCAGTTGGTATCTGCACAATCAGTTTTCATTCTTGTCCTGGTTTCAGCTGGGATAAAGTTAATTTTCTTGCTAGTAGCTGGTATAGTGTTATGTCTTGGATTCAGTATGAGAAGAATGTTGATAACACACTGACGTTTTCAGTTGTTGCTAAGCAGTGTTTATACTAAGTCAAGGATTTTTCAGCTTCTCATGCCCAGCCAGCAAGAAGGCTGGAGGGGCACAAGAAGATGGGAGGGGACACAGCCAGGGCAGCTGACCCAAACTGGCCAAAGGGATATTCCATACCATGTGATGTCATGCCCAGGATATAAACTGGGGGGGGGGGGTGGTTGGCCTGGGAGGGATCGCTGCTCAGGAACTAACTAGGCATCAGTCGGTGAGTGGTGAGCAACTGCATTGTGCATCACTTGTTTTGTATATTCCAATTCTGTTAATATTATTATTATTATTATTGCCTTTGTTGTTATTATTATTATGATCATTATCATTTTCTTCCTTTCTGTTCTATTAACCTGTTCTTATCTCAACCCACGAGTTTTACCTTCTTCCTTCCAATTCTCTCCCCCATCCCACTGGGTGTGGGGGAGTGAGTGAGCGGCTGCGTGGTGCTTAGTTGCTGGCTGGGGTTAAACCACGAAAATTCTTTTAAGAGCACCTTCACTTTTAGATATAAAGGCTCTTACACAAGCGTGCAATAGCATGGTTTTAACAATACCATCTTCCATTTTTTATGTATCAACTTTACAGCACTGAAACTTGTGTAAGTAGTTCTTTGTATACATGAATTATCATCTCAAAGTCCTACATTTTGTAAAAATTAATCTGTATCTACAGCTACTTCAAACAGTACTAAAACTATTTTTCCATCACATGTAAAGTAGTTTTAGCTTTGTGAAATAGAAAGCAAGGAACAGAAATTAAATGCTTCAGATTACATATGAAACCTGTGGCAAAAGCTTCATTTAAAAAGCCATTCCAGTCTTAATCACATATCTGTATTCTTCTCATTCTTTCCCAAATTTGATTTGTAAGCAGCTGAAGTGATGACATTAATTTACTAATACATACATACTAGATTAGGTTGTTTGACATTATTGAGAACATCTGTAAGAGACTAGTGGGGTCCAGTTAATCAATACAAGCATTATTTTCTTTTTATTGCTAATGTGTAGAATCAGTTTGCAAATTCGATTAAAAGAAACCCATAGATTTTCTCACCTACTTGAATATTTTATAAATCAAAGAAAATGGCTAAAACTAAAAATTACTGAACTGGAAACAACAATCTAACTAAATGACATCAAATTAAGGTACTGTCTCAAAGGAAAAATGAGGAAACATGGAAGAGAAACTTCATAAAACTCTGAGGTCCCCAAGTAGTAATTATTAGTGATGTGATTAAAAAAAAATTGAAAGTGATGTCTTGTGTTAGCTTTACTTGTCAGTGTATGAAAATATCAATATACACTGGTATTTTCTAAGTTTACACCTACTAAAATTCATACCTTGTCATTTTGCTCATGATCCCTCATATGGCGCTGGAACTGGGTCTCTTTTGGAAAAGACAGCAAACAGATTTCACACTTATGGAAGGTAGGTACTTGGTAGGGAAAATTACTGTTCTCTATATTCGGTGTCAGAACATCATCTACAAAACAAGCAACAAAACATTTGTACGAAGTCACATTTCATTTACTTATAATTTATTGTAAAAACCAGAATTCTCTGAAGCACAAACTATTCAAACTTGTGTAAGATTTTGACTTATAAAAGATTCTAACTTCACAGGATCTCGAAGATCATTACTGCTTCCATTGACACAGGATCAACAGAATACATCCATCTCTCTAACCACCAGTCACTAAGGAGATAAATGATCACCTTTTCCTAGTAATTTGAAATAAAGTCTTTCTGTGCTTCATAAATACCCATCAAGTTTGCAACAAAATAAAATGCTGCCAAAAACACCAGGTATGAGTAAGATACTGGCAGGGGTTGCTTTTAATAATATTACATCATGTGTTTCTAAAAAAAACTTTTTAATACAACATAGTCAGCAGTTCTGACTACACAGGTTTTCTGCCCTCCCCTGCTACTTTCTCTCTTTTTTCTTTTCCTTTAAGAAAAAATTAGGCATCTTTTCTTTCTTCTACTTCTGGCAATGTAAAACCTTTATTAGTTACCTTTACAGTTGTAAAACCAATACCAACGTTTCAAAAAGCTGAGAGACAATAAACTGCAAGTCAAACTGTGTACACATGAATTCAATGGAGAAAAATTTTTTTTTTTATATAGACCCAGTCTAAGCCCATACAGCTTTCTTGTTTTGAACTCCTACAGTCACACAACTTTTGATATACAAGTTGCAAGATTCTATATCCTCTGGCTCAAATGGCTTAAGTCAGTCCTATAAATATTTAAGATATAAGGAAAATATTAATCCAAGTAAGTTAAACACATTTTAAACTTGAGAAGATACTGTATTACTAAGGAACTTATCTTTATTTAAGAAAAACTTTTAAGAAAAGCAATTGGCAGGAGCAGTTAAAATACATAAGAACATTCAAAGCAGTATTAATAAAATTAAAATCTGACTCATACTGCAGATTAAGGACACTAAAGTGAAAAAACCCATAGAATTCAGTTTCAAACACTGCCACAATTCAATGAAGTGCATCAACAACAGAATGCAACAGGATGCAAAAAAAAGGGAATGCTGATTTTATTATCTACACACGCAAGGCCTGATGTTTCCCTTTACTAAAAGTCAGTACTTCTCACCATGTAAGAATTAGGCATAGGCAACAAAACTACAAGTTCACAGCATCCTGTTTACAATTCCTCAGAGGAAACTGAAGATTACGATTCATATAGTATTTCTGCTCAGTACTGCACCTACCTCAATGCCCTGTCTCATTCAACGCACCATTTACAAGGAAAAAAAGAAATAAAAATCAGTACCTTATGCCCTAACCATCTTTTTTTCCTGCTAAAATTCTCATAAACAAACTTCAAAAGCTTGATGTTGAGAAAGCTCTAGGAAACATTTCAGCATAAGATATTTGGGGTGAGAAATCACAACTAAAACCAACTTCCTGGGGACTTGCACTTCCCATTTCTGGACTAAATTGCCCAATTAACTTTTGCTTTGCAAAGTTTAGTTATACATCTTTCTGTCAGACAGAAACACTTTGCTTAAGTATCACAAATCTTTCACATATATAAACTTAAACCTACTGCATCCTTTAAAGGACTCTCAGCTGTAAATTCATAGTATATGCAGGCACTATCAACAACATCTCTGAAAGGCTCACATTTCAAAAGCTGAAAAGCACAGCTTTAATTACAAGACACTGTCCTTTAAGTGTCCTTGTGATAAACATACCTGAGTATAATAAAGGGCACAAAATCAGTTTCTGTAAATACTGACATGATAAGAAAAAGAGAGGTGAAAGAAAAATCTACTCCAGTACTTGGACTATATGAAAATGTAATGCAAGAAGCTTTCCTAGTAGGCGATTCTCTTCTCAGAGGTACGGAGGTACCCATTTGCCAACTGACACATTTTCTAGAGAGGTGTGCTGCATACCAGGGGCTCGTATCAGGGATGTCACTGAGATATTACCAAGCTTCATACGGTCCACCGACTATCATCCGCTGTTCTCGTTTCATGTGGGCACCAGTAATACAGCCAGGAGCTGTCTGAGGAGTATCATGAAGGATTACAGAGCCCTGGGAGCAGTGGTAGTTTTTTCGTCAGTCCTCCTGGTCAAAGGAAAAGGTTTGAAAGGGCCAGTCAAATCTGGCGAATCAACAAATAGTTACAGGACCAGTGCTACAGCCAGGGGTTCGGCTACTTAGACCATGGGACTCGCTTTGAAAAACCTGGTCTGCTGGGGGCTGACGGGGTCCGTCTGTCAGAGAAAGGGAAGAGCATCTTTCATCATAGGCTTGCCAAGCTGGTGAAGAGGGCTTTAAACTAAAGTTGCTGCAGGAGGGAACCTCAATCCATCCCTCTCTCGCTACCAGTTTGATGCCAGTGCCAGCAACAGATGCCCAGAGCCTCAAGAGGCATCACAGGAGAGCAGGAGAGCACCTGAAGAGCAGCACAAAGGAACCCCAGCCATTAAGTCATCTTCACCGGGGCCCAACTTAAATGCCCCTATGCAAACACACATAGCATGGGGAATAAACAACAGGAGTTAGGGACATGCACACCTGCAGGGCTATGATCTTATTGGCATCATGGAGATGTAGTGGGATGGCTGCTGTTGGAGTGTTGGAATGGAAGGATACAGGCTCTTTAGGAAGGACAGGCAGGGGAGAGGAGGAGGGGGTGTCACCCTCTATGTCAATGACCAGCTGGAGTGCATGGACCTCCACCTGGGGATGGATGAGGATCTGACTGAGAGCCCATGGGTCAGGACCAAAGGGAGGGCAGGGACAGGTGACATTATAGTAGGGGTCTGCTACAGGCCACTCGACCAGGAAGACCGAGTGGATGAAGCCCTCTATAGACAGATAGGAGCAGCCTCATCTTCACAAGTCCTGGTCCTCATGGGGGACTTCAACCACCCTGATATCTGTTGGAAGGACAACATGGCAGGGCATAAGCAACCCAGGAGGTTCCTGGAATGTGTTGAGGATAACTTCCTTCTCCAAGTGACGGAGGAGCCAATGAGGAGAGGTCCTATGCTGGACCTTGTTCTCACCAACAAGGAGGGGCTGGTGGGGAATGTGAAGCTCAAGGGCAGCCTTGGCTGCAGTGACCATGAAATGGCGGAGTTCAAGATCCTTAGGGCAGGGAGGAAGGCATACAGCAAGCTCGCTACCCTGGACTTCAGGAGAGCAGACTCTGGCCTCTTCAGGGATCTGCTTGGTAGAGCACGGTTTAGATTAGATGTAAGGAAGAAATCCTTCACTGGGAGGGTGGTGAGGCACTGGAACAGGTTGCCCAGAGAGGTTGTGGATGCCCCATCCCTGGCAGTGTTCAAGGCCAGGTTGGATGGGGCTTTGAGCAACCTGGTCTAAGTGGTAGGTATCCCTGCCCATGGCAGGGGGGTTGGAACTAGATGATCTTTAAGGTCCCTTCCACCCAAACCATTCTATGATTCTAAGAGTCTTTTCCCCTAGAAAAGGGAGTGATTGTTCAACCCCATGAAGGCCTGACCTCTCACTTTAAACTGACAACAGAAAAATGATCCAATCCATGATTTCAGAAAGGGCTTTAAACCTTCTCCATGAACCAAAGAGACTGTCATCTTTAAACACTCACTCTGGAGATCAAAGACACTGGACAACATAGAAAAACAACACCTAAGCAACTGAAGTACCCAAAGTGTAACTTTGAAAAAATCAAAGGTGCTAACTTCTCTACAATTTGAAACACAGAAAAAGCAACATGCTCACTAGCGTCTGAATAGTATTACCAAATTGCTTACTTTTTAGGTCAATAACATTTCTATATATCATTTTTATTAAGATGTGTATCATATCTGTATCAACCACAATACTGACTAATCTACAAGCTATGAATTTTCTTCTGGAATTCAAAAAGGAGTTTAAATTAACTGTATGTTAATGAAAAATCAAATATCCTCGTGACGTTTCAATAAAATTTGATGACTATAAGTGTATGAAGTCGTAGCACCTGATGCAGAGATATACAGCATGAAGATATTTCAGCTTTTCTTCAAAAAGAAGGAAATGATCACCACTAAAATAAACAGAAAGGGGTAACAGAAACATAACCTTAAAATATTTCATAGGAAAGAAAAAACAGCCTACACTTCGGGAAATGAGTTGAGCATATCACACCCCGTGTCAAAACATGAGTTTCTCAAGACTAGTTCATGGGTGATCATAAACCCAAGCTGCCTGCAAGCCTTTCCACCTTCCTAAAGACCCTCAGACCCCAAGGAAGAAGTAGTAGAAGGCACACATTTAGAAAATTCCTTGCTTACATCTGTTAACATCTCTAGCATTACTCTTTCAAAGAAAATCTTTGTAACTCTTTCCAAAGCCCAATCTTATGCTTTTTTGGTCCTATCTTTCATACTGCTAAAGAGCAAAAAAAATAATGTTTGGGAGCCAGGACTGGACCCCAGAATCAGCAACTGGACTGTAAGGTCCAGCTTGACTTGGCAGAGCACTCTCACTGCAGAAAACCTTAAGCATAAGGCAGAGCATATCAATTTAGGTTAGATTCCAGAAATCTTCAAAGGCTCAACTATTGGACGATCAGGCTGAAGACTGCTCTAAGTAGTTACAGCCGGTAAGAATAGAAAAACAGTCCAGTTTGGATTTAAAAGAACTCTGAAAGTTCAGTTGTTTCACTTTCACTCAAAGGGCAGGATCTAATGCAGATTAAAATTAAAACACAAATTCATTTATTCATTAACGCTGTGTCTGAAATAGCTTAAGGGAAAGATGAGACTATAATCATCTTCTTTCACTTGTATTCTCACTAAAATAGTTTGGTCCTCTATTACCAGACAAATACTGGGTATTTCTGAGAGTTGCACAGCTCCCTTTTCTTAAAGATACAGGAAGTGACTTTTTATTTTATTCTTCCAGCAACAAGGAGCATATTCAGAATAATATCCCTACTGAAATCATGCTACTGGATAACTGCAAGGACAAAACTGTTAAGTTGTGTTTAAAACGGGGAAGACAGAAAAACAGGAAAGACATTGCAAATTAAAAAAAGTAACAAGCAAGTGAGCTACATTTTGACTTTTCAGGCAGGTGTCACAGACTCATAAAGTATGACTTGGGTCTGTCTTCACTTCAATATAAAAAAGAAATAAAAGTTTGAGAGTTTTTTGTTGCAATAATTAATAACCAGATGAAGACACTATTTACACTGATACCTCTATCATAGCAATTCAAAGTAATAGCCTACCATATTTCAGGGAAATCAGCAATAAAACCCAGTTGTGCAATCATCTTTCCTTATATCAGAGAAAAAAATGCTTTCAGACGCATCAGCCTGGATCATGAAACCAGTCAAATGCTGCAAAACACTGAATCTATCTTAAAGGCCAATATTTTTGAATACCAAAACCACACAGATGATGCCAATTCAAGAAGTTGGCAGTGGAGTATGGAACCCGTACTTTTAAATGCACTGAGAAATTTGTTAATTAAAAAAAAAAGCAACTCTAAACTTCCCTTGTGTACCAAAGGGAAACAAAATAAAAATACTGACGTAAGTGGCATAGTGTTTGATGGTCATAATTCACCATTTATCAGATTAGCAACCCTATCATAAATTCCTAATATGGTACTTACGCTCTCAGAAAAATATAAATATTAACTACACAGATTAAGCAATCTATTTATTGTCAGATATACACTGTCCAGACGAAAACACAAGTCTGCTGTCTGTTAATGAACTAACAGAATGCCATTCAAGTCAACAACACAGAATTAAAAGTTTTGAGTTTTTAGTTAGAGATGACATTAACTGATTAAGCATATAACATCAGCAAAATCACATGAAAAGCTGGCATGCTCTTACTAGAGAGAAGCTACTTACTGACATCCATAAACAAACACACACACAGAGAAAACACAAAATGAGTATCAGAGTAACTAATCCCCTGAAAAATAAGTGATCCTTTCAGGTCTGCACACTACAACAATTGATAAACCTCGCTGAACAGCTGCAAAGTTTAGAACACTGCCGTTTATTAATATTAGCTGCATGGAAACAGTGCAAAAGCTACTGTCTTTTTTTTTTTTTCTTCCCCCCAATTGGCATGTTTGTCTAGTTGCAACATAAATCAGCCCTATTCCATCACAGCTTGAGAGAGACAGTCAAGCATCAATACAATTAAACAGGGAGGACTTAGCTCATTACGCACTGTCAAACATACATTTTGTCTGTATGCTTACAGTTTGTCCAAAGTGTCCAAAAATACCAGAATCAGATTTACAAAGTACCTATCAATGATAATAAAGATGGACTTTTAAAATACTCTTAATGTTACAACCTTTAACGTTACAGCCTTTAAGTTCTTTTCAAATTAATTGTCCCTCACAGAGAAGCAGCAGCAATGAAGCTTCGGGTCAACTCAGCTACAGATTTCTGTGATACAGCCTTCATGAAAACTTGACCTCGGGAGTTGAGTCAGCAAGCAGGTGCTCTCTGCTATAAGCCACCGATGACAACTCAATGTGGAAGGAGGAAGACAGAATTAGAGCACTCCCAACCATTCCTTCCTTATGTAAGCAGCACTGTGCCTCATGACAGCCTGCAGTCCTCTCTGCAAGGCGCAGATGGACTCATTCAGCTGTAAATGCAGCACAGCCTTATTAGATCTCTAATAGCCTACTCACATCCGACTGAGAGGACACAGCGAATACAACACTCAAGCTTGCGGAATTCATGGATGAAAACTTGTCACTGAAGTTAAATGGCAGCTGGCAAGTCTAGGAACAAAAGGGTCTGACCCTATCAAAACCTATTTACTCACTTATGAGCCGAAAGAAAGTGGGAGAACAAGAGAACAAAACAGGGGTGGCAATGTTAATGTTTCCTCATACTACACTTGAAGTCATAGAACACAAAAGATAATGAATCATTAAAACATTTTGCTTAGTTCTGCAATCATAAAAGAATCAGGTTAGTTTA